AAAAAAAAAAAAAAAAAAAAAAAAAAAAAAAAAAGATACTTTAAACTCGAAAATCGTGGAGGATTTTTTTAATTGAATCGAGCCGAGAGACCTTGTGGTAACGGATCGAGGAGCGAGGTGCGTAGGTATTCTGGTGTTGATAGTACGAGGGTGGTCGGTGAGCATGATGATGATGGTGATGGTGATGGTGGTGGTGGTGGTGGTGATGGTCATAGTATAGATCATTGTCGGTATCGTAGTATTGGTCGTGATGGTGATGGTGGTAGTAGTAGTTTTGATCCTGCTGGGAGGGCACCTCAGCCAGCAATGGCTCTAGCTCGGGGGCGCGATCCTCATCATTAACTACGGGTACAACCCCAGACCCACCCCCTCCCTGGCTACTCTCTCCGCTGCTGCCTAGTATATCGTACTGGTGGGACATCTTCCAGTTCACCTTTTTATTTCTGCAAAAAATCCAAAAAAAAAAAAAAAAAGGAAAGAAGAAAGTGGTTACAATTCAAAATATAAATGGATAGTTACAACACGTTTCAAAAATATATCAACTCTCTTACATATTCAATATCGTGTCTTGAATATATTTGAACTTGAAAACTACTGTCATTTTCTATTTGTTATTCTAGTTTCTTTATATTTACTATAATCCATATTATTTTATATTTTGAGTTTGGTTTTCATTAAATTTTCTATCCATAACGATTTGCTATTATTGTTTCCCGTACTTATATATAATTTTGATAAATTGAAAGTTTAATTCTGTAAATTTGTCGAATGCAAAACTCTAAATATCATCAGAAAAATAAATTTCTCTTTGCAATATACGTGTAATATATATGTTACATTTAATATGTTAATATATGTTACACTTAATATATGTTTAATATATATGTTTAATATATGTTACATTTTTGAAACGCATTATTACATATATTATATATAAAACGGAAACGGAGTACCTGATGCTACGTTGACGTCTATGCTCGTCGTCTTCCTCCCTGTGCTCCTTGTGTTGATCGAGCTTCGTTTCCGGCGTTGGCCGTACCACGTGTTCGAGGCTGTTCGCCCTACTTCCGGCCCCATGATTATTTCCGGTATGATTTACCGCCGTCACGTCCAGTATGCAGTTGAGGAAGGCTTGCTAAAGTCGAACGTGCGAAACCACACCGACTATCAGAGCTATTTCTTTCTTTCTTTTTTTTTTTTTTTTTTTCTTTTTTTTTTTTTTTTTTACTTATTTATTTTTCTTTCTTTATCTCTCGTTTCCAAAGAGCCAAATATTATCAGTTACAGGTATGTACAGGCACATACAGGCTTTCTTTCGTTCTCCTTCGATTTACCTTCTTTCTCTTGCGTGCTTCTCTTTCGAGTTAGAAGGGAGAAGAATGATTATAAAATAGTAGAGAGCGCGAGTTGTTGTGTTTATAGCGATAAAAAACGGCGAGAGAGAAATTTTCAAAAAAAAAAAAAAAAAAAAGAAAAAAAAAGAGAGAGATAGAGAGAAACAGAGAGGCCATGCTAGAATTGGCTGGAAAGAGTGATAATCATGTGACGTAATGCACTCGAGTGTTACAAAAATATTTCTTGAGATATTATTAGAGAAAAAAATTTTTTTTTTCTTTTTTTGAAAA